GCTCAAAGAGCATGAGAAAGGCGTACAGTCTAATGGAGGAAATAGGGGGAAGGCTGGCCTCAGCTCCTGAAGGAAAGCATTCCTTGGGAGATGTCCAGGCCAGGCAAGGCAGTGAGGCCCCCACACTGCTGTGAAAGCAAAGCTTGGGAGATCAGAAAGCAGGAGTTGGAGCCGGACTCCAGCCCAGGACTAAGGAGGCCCTGGTGTTGGCAGCTCCTCACAGCTCTGTTGCCTGAACTCCTGAGGGTCTCTGATCCTCCTGCTCAGCCCCAGAGCCTGGACCTGGAGAGACTTGGGGGAGAGGGAGGAGCTTTTGCAAACTCCCAGGGCAGCACGTGTGCGCGGGACAGAGCAGGTGTTTGGTAAATATTAAATTAGCACATAAACGCCTCCATCAGCTGTCCCCACAAGACAGCCACCTTTGTTGCAACAGCTGCCAGGCCGGGGGCTCAGCTTTTGATCTCATTTTTTTTCTCCCTCCTCCTACAGTGAAAGGGCCGTTATTTCCCTGTTTTACAGCTAAGGAAGTTGAGAGGCGGGCCGTCTGAATTCAAAGTTCTGAACCTGTGTTAGAGGGGGTCAGACCTGGCCCCCCATAAGAGGGTGTTTCATTACTATGCCAACAACCTTGGGCCTCCAGAAAGCGTTCTGAATAACGAAAGCGATCCTCCCAGCCAACCTTGCCCCCTCAGCTAGAGGTAGCCACATAAACAAAGTCTCTGGGTCTGGAAGACGCCCCTACCCCAGTGTCTGGCATACAGTAGGTGCTCAGTAAATATTTGTGGGATAAGTGGCCCTCTGGTCTCTGAGGCAAGCTTTCCTGCCCATAAATTTCAGCTCTGGGCACTTTGAAGTTCCCCCGAGGGACAGCTGCTTCCTTGTTATCACTGCCCCTCCCGGCCCCCAGCCCCAGCCTCCCGTGGCCCCCTGGGCCCATCCAGGCCAGGGACCTAGGGCCGCCAGAGCCAAGAGATAAGAATGATGGATGGCCAGTTGCCTGGCTCCACTAAAGCCCGGAGTTTCCTGGGAGCGGGAGACAGTCTAGTGATTCCAAAGCCCCTCGGAATTCGAGTGGAGAGCGCCTGCTTCGGGCGGAGGCAGTGTCCACGCATCCCTATCTCCTCCAGATGCGGAGCCAGCGTTTCTGCACCCGCTGCCCGGCAGCCTTGATCTCCTTCCGCGTTGACAAGGCTTTCTTTCAGCATGTGCCAGACACCGGGACTCAGCACTGGGCTTCCAGGGGGAGGCAGAGGATGGAGTCCCCCTCACCCTGTCCCTCATCCCCTGCTCTGTCCACAGCCCTCCAGCCTTTGGCCCCTGGGTCTGAAGACAGGACAGGCTTTCTTCCCAGTTTGTACTTTAGGCTCCGCCAGTGGTTCCCTGGCAAAATGAGGAATCACAATGTCCAGGCCTTAGTTTCCCCTTTTGTAAAATCAGTGTTGGGAGAGTTGTTTCTTTTGGACTCTGCCGAAAGGGGATTCTAAGCGCCGAAGAAGAAACTGGCTATGGCTGAAAGCAGTGTGGACGCTGCCTAGATGTTCTTTCTTAGATCTAGACAGCAATTAAGATTGGTTTGTTTCAAATCTCTGATCCCCAAACCAAGAGGCTTCCTAGCTTTGGCTAGATGGCGGAACCTGGTCTCCTTAAGTTTTGAAAGCCTCCTAAAGGTTGGAACTTGTAGATTCATTTTTATCCTTTTCTTCCTTCTGGAAGTTTACTTGAATTTTTTTTTTCAATTTATCTGCAAATCAGATTCTTCCGTCGTCCTTCTACAAGATCCTGATAATAACCCGCCCTAGACAAGCTCCTCCCCGTCCTGGACTCCCCCTTCCTTTTGAGACGCGATACCAGCGTTTGGTGAAGCACCTCCCAAACTCCTTCGGCGTCTGTACAAACATCTGTCCTTCCTCTGACAGACGTACAGACGCGCCCTGTAGGGGACAGGCGTACATAGAGGCCTCGCCCACAACAGCCATGGTGCTTTACACCCACCTCTCTGCCCGGTGGCCTGGGCACCCATCCACGCCGGCCTCATGAAGCCGTCTCGGTCCCTTCTCCGTGGTGCAGAGAGGACATAATAGACTTGCCCCCCAGGGACACTCCAAAACAGTAGGGATTTGGTCTGTTTTGTTCACCACGGATTCTCAGGGTCCTGGCAGTAGACCCCCAGTAATAGAATGAATACACGATGAGGTGACCCAGTGAAGTGTGATGATGTAGCCCGCCCCCTGCTGGTAGATGTGCAGGTTGCGTCCATCCTTTCAGCACAGTAGTAACTCCTGAGTATACTCTGTTGTTTCCTTTGGAGAAGCCGTAACTGTGGGGGTCTCCAGAAAGCAATGTGTGGACTCCCGTGGTAAGGCCAAATCCTTCCCTTCAGAGATGAGCACAGAGAGGATCCACAAGAGGCCAAACTGCTTCCCAAGGGTGCCCAGCACCCAGTTAGCGGTGGACTAGAACCTTGGGGATCGCTTGAATTTCTCTTCTTTCCTTGAGCTTGATGATGCTTACACTTCCTCTGCTCCCCACCCAAGCTGCAGTCCAAGTCCTCAAGAGGATCGATTTAGGGGCAGAATTTCTGGGGTTTTTTTGTTTGTTTGTTTGTTTTGTTTTTTGTTTTTTGGCATAACTGGAGATCGAATTCAGGACCTTGTGCTTGCCAGGCAGGCACTGGCACCACTGAGCTAAATCTCCAGCCCTTAGGGGCAGAATTTGTAATTCAGTTCCATAGAGAAGGAAGATACCCGCCCCCAGCAGGAGTCCTGGGTTTTTGTCCCCATCCCGAATTGGGTAAGAACCCAAGTAAATCGCTTTTCTTCTTGGAGTCTGTTTCCCTAACCTGTAGAATTGGCCTAATGATTCTGGTTTTCTTCTTGGAATGAGGACCAGAAAAAGTTTGGACAGTGGGGAAAATAGGAGCCTAGGAGAGAATTAATGCAGCCTTCAAACGGAGAAATTTTAAAGATTTCAGGTTAAGAGATAAGATAGGTTTTCACTTTCATTGAGAGAAAAAGGAGAAGCATTCTGTCTGTGTAATTATACGGTGAATACATTTGTGTAATTACAGAAGAGGTGATAACAGTTACCCAGCAATGTTAATCAGCGGTTGTCTCCTAGGAGTCTCGGGTTGCAGACCGTAGGGGAAGGCTGTTAACATCTTGCTACACTCAGTTTTGTTTGATATGGTAAAGAAAAGACATTTACATACAAAGTCACTAACCTCAAGAAATAAAAATAAAGCAAATGACACATATTGCCCCAGGAAAATATAATAAAAGCTAAGGCCAGGAGTAACCTACTTACAGAAGTAAAAACACAAATAACTAGATGGGGAAAATGTTCCATCTCTATCAAATTGTAAGAGCCGCTATTAAGTACAGACCAGAGAGTTCTCCCCCTGGGTCTGCAGGGAGGCCACTTGCAGGGCTTGGCTGGGAGGGGGACACCCACGCCAGACGCCGCTGACAAGCCCATCCTGCTCTGCATCCTGGCTCCGATAGAGCCCCCCTTGCCAAGCAGAGAGGGCGGGCAGTCTCCCGCTCCGCTGGGCACCCAGCTCCTCCCCAGCAGAGAGACCAATCCTGTGCTCCTCTGCTCCACCCTCCCCGCCAGAAACACACTACCCTCTTCAGACCCAAATCCCCCCTCTTCTGATAAAGGAGTCCTGGGCCCCGTGACTAAACCCAGAATGATTGGTACAGTGCCTGGTGCCTGAAGACCATCCCCCGCTCCCCTCCCGGAGAACTGCTGAGTTCAGAACTGAGAATCCTGTTGGGGGTTCAAAGGTTATCTTGTTTAGCATCAGCCTGTAGCAAAACTACCTCCCAGGGCTTTGTTTGGGTAATTGTCTGGTTTTCTTTCTTTTTTTAATGATATTAGGAAAAGCCATTAGTTTTCTGAAGCAATAGCTTTATTTCCTACAAAGAAAGGGAAACTGAGGCACAGGGGGACTCTGAGAAATCCAGATCACACATCTCTTTAGATGGAGTTAGAACCAGTATCTGTTAACTCCCAGTCTAGAGCTCTTTCTGTCTGGATCCACCGTGGCCGTACCTTTCTTTGGGCCTGGGTCTGTTCCTTTAATCCCCGTATATCAAACCTCTCACATCTCTTAGTCATAAAGACCTCTCCGTCCACTTGGGGAAGTTAATGGTCCTAAGGTGTTATAAGTTTATAACATAGACTATATTTTTTTTTATTTTGGGAGGGGTACCAGGGATTGATCTCGGGAACTTGTGCTCGCAAAGCAGATGGTGGAACCACTGAGCTAAATCCCTGGCTCCCTATATATATTTTTTGTTTGTTTTGTTTGTGGCAATGGTTTAGCTTCGTTGTTATTGTTTTGGTCTCACTACAGATTCTAAGCTAGGCTTGTTTTGTTCACTAGGTAGCCCAGCCTGGCCTCAAACTTTCAGTAATCCTCCTGCCTCAGCCTTCAGAGTGCTGGGAATACAGACATGTGCCACCATGCCCACCAGACCATACTTCAAAGGAGAAAAGATAACAGTTCCAATATAGCAATGATAAACAGCAATGTCCGTCAATAAGTAATGGAATTTTAAAATCATTTTAAATAATGACATTTTAAAAAAAGAACGATAAAAGTCCTCTGCATCTATCCCAATGTACATATGCAGAACACAGGAAGTTGTTCCTGTGCGGGGCATAAAGCTTTGTCTCTGTTTGACCCTTACACCCTCCTTGACCAGGAAGAGCTGCTTCGCTGCCTGTCTACCCCAGGTCTCACTCTAAGCGCGTGCCTACCTCCTGCCTAAGAGCGTCCTGGTGTGAAGCCGGTACTCTCGAAGTCCTCGGGGAACAGAGGGGCTCAAAGTCAAAACAGGGCACCTTTTTTGGATAAAGAGCCAGGTAGAAAACATTTCGGGCTCTGTGAGACAGCTTCTCTCCGGCACGACACAACCCTGCCTCCGTGGCTCCGAAAGCAGCCGCAGGCCCTGGGCAGACCACACCAACGTCACTGTTCCCAGGAACATTTTATTTACAAAAATGGGCAGTCAACAGGATCCATCCCATGGCCGTAATTTGCCAGCTCCTGCTTGAGAGAACAGGGCTGGGACTCAGACCTGAGTCACCACCCCAGCTCAGCAGAATCTTCACTCCCATGACTCCGAACAGCTGGCTGCATTAGTTAGTCGAGCCTTATCTGGGGGACAAAGGCAATAAATATCCCTGGTCTCTCGACTGGAGCCGCTGCTCAGGGGGACGTGAGGAGGAGGCATCTGGGTCCTGGTGCTGAAATCAGCTTCCATCAGCTGCCCTCTCAGCTTCCACTGCCAGCTGCTTTCTCTCGAGACCCCAAACTCTCTGCTCCTCTGTAACATGGGAGGAGAAACGCATTTGTTTCCAGAGCATTGAGAGATGTGATCTTAACTCTCCCAAGAGCCTCTGTAGTTGTGACTGTCGCCATCTTACAGAAGGGGACCCTGAGTCACACAGAGAGGAAGGACCATGTGGCCAGCAAGAATAGAAACCAGATATTCAAACTGGGACTGTCACGTTTGAAAACCTCATGAGATTTCTGTTTTCTCCATTTAACTATCAAATCTGGGAAGTCAAGAGACCTTGGTTCTAGCTCCATCCAACCAGCCAGTAGAAATGAAGAGTGAGAGGTACAGAGCTTGACGAAAGTGCTCCTGTCCCTCCCAGGTGAGCTCCTGTGAGGCCACCTGGTCTGGCCGTCTCCTCCCAGCCCCCACCCAGCCTGGCTTCCACACCTGAAGAAGTCAGCACTGCCCCCAGAGCCCCAGTGGTCTCTGAAAATCCATCTCAACTCTGGGGCTCCCTTCTCCTACAGGACGCTCTTCTGAGTTTCGGCGACAGTCCCTGATGGCCATCACCTGCTCCCCAGCCCTACTCCCACAGTTGTGCAGCGCAGGCAGGGGGAGCCTCTTGCTGCTGCCCTGCCCTGGGACTGCTCTGTGTGGCTCTGTCTCTACGTTCCTGCCCAGCGGCTGAGATGTCAGCAGGGTGAATCAGCTCCTGGCCAGATAACATCTGTGTTCTACTGAGCTAGAGGGTTGGGTTTGGGACTCCGAGGAGCTTTCCCCTGGGGCAGGGAGCTGGGGAGTTAGGAGATGGGCAGGAACAAGGGCCCCACCCTCTGCAGACCCCCTTTTGAGGCAGGAGGGTCTCTGCCTGACTCTCACAGAAACTGGATCCTCAGGGACTGGAAGAGCTGGCCAAGCAGGGACAAGGCCATTGTTCAAGTGGACTCCAGGCTTTCTGAGCCCGAGAGCTCCAGGAGGGTCTGCTGATGGCCCTGGGGTCCCCAGCTTCTATTCCCAACTCTTGATAAAGTCCTGAAGTGCTGGAGCGATCCCCACCCGTCCCTGGCCCTTGGCTTGCCCGTCTGCGGGCTGACTGGCGGGGCTCCTTCTGCCTCCGCAGAGGCAGGGTGTTGTGTTGTGCTGAGAGCTCGGAACGCTGGACTCCGACAGAACTGCACGCGCACCGAGCTCGGCCTCCTCCCCTCCTGTCCTGATTCCTCTCGCCTACTTTGTCACCGTCCGGGGCTCAGCGTGGGAGGTCTGGTGTTGGCCCTCTCTGGACCCTCTCTGGGCCTTAGACACATCCAGTGGGCACGGGGGCGGAAGAAGAGGTAGAAACAGATTCTTTTCCTTCCTAGCCCTGGACATCTTCTCCCAGACTGAGTCAAAGAGGCAGTGGCCGGGTCCCTTGGGTCCCCTGCAGATGACGTCTCCAATCTGGATGGAAAGGTTGTCCTGGCAGTTAGGATCCCCCTGGGTGCCCCCACACCTTCCACAGCCATATGCCCGCGAGCCCGGGGTGGCCAGCTGTGGCGGCCCCAGCTTCCAGTGTCGCCAGAAAGCGTATGTGGAGACAAGTGGTTTGAATTTAGGGGAAGGGCACAGGGGAGCTCAGGAGAAGGCCTAGTTGTGAGGCATCATTATGTGCTTTGTACTGCTTTTTAGAGAATCAAATCTTAGAAAAACAGCACTGAACTCAAAATTAGGCAACCCCTTTGTCCCTGCTTCGCTACAGTTTCCGGGGCTTTGTTTCTGTTTTTTCATCTCTTCCCAAAAATTTGGCCCAAAGAAATGGGCAGAAACGGGTTCTGTTCAAATTTGGAGCCATAAAAGGCGTCCGATGGTCCCTCCGCTGTGGGTTGTGGGGTGCTCTGGCCAGTGGAGTCTCAGCAGAGCAGCAAAGGGAGGATTGTCCCCTGCCAGCCACCCAGCTCTCAGAATGGTGTCACAAGCAGCTGCCGTGTCTGGAGAGAGAAAAGAAAAGGAGTCCCGCCCGCTTCACCATCTAATTCTTGTTGCCAGATCTGCTTCCTCGAGAAGTGCCACGATCGCTTCTGGATGTGTACAGAGAGGCCTGGAATCTGTTTTTGGAAAGAGACAGAGTCGCTGAATGACACGGTACGCTTGCACGGCCGGCGCATGTGCACACACACAGACAGACACCTTCGCCCCACAGCCTTCCCCTGGGCCCCACGAAGGGAGAGCCCTGCCAGGCCTCCTCTTCTGGATCGGATTAGGCCCGGCCTCACATCAGAACTATGAGGAAGCAGCGACTCCACCATGATCAAGGAGATTTCAGAGGCCCCTTTGTGCTGACAACAAAAGCCAAGCGTCTTGTCTTCCCACCGTGCCGCCATCTCCCTCGGGAATGGCACCCACCTCTCCGTCTCCCACACTCCTGGCTCTGGGCCTCCACCCTGACGCAGTGAGGAGTGACAAGGCGCTTTCTGGGGCTGGACTGAACTCTCTCACCCCTCAAACGTCTGCCTGGGCGACCTGTGTCTGCCCCTCAGAACTTCGCCGGCCCGCCGGTCCTCATCCCGGGCACCTGCGAGTCCTGTGAAAACAGGACTCCTGTCCCACTTCCCAAATCACTCATGCTTTTAGGACCAAAGTGGAAAAATTCTAGAAAAGCGAAGAAAATTTTACTTCACTGAGGTTCAGATGCGCTCTCAGAAGGCAGAGGTATTTTGTATTTTCATCTTGCAGAAACTGGCCGAGCGGTCCCCCAGTGAGAAGAGGGACCCCAAGGAACGTAGAAAGCTTCTCACCAAGTCCTGCGGCTTCTCACCACAGCCCTGATGTCCACGGGAGAAACATCACCATCTCAAGGAGGGAAGACGGTCAGAACCCTGATGGAGTCAAGAGAGCCAGCCTCCTCGTGGACCAGCTACGAACTGAGAGCCTCTGCTCCGTGGACTGTTTGTCTGTGCAACGGCCTGACTCCTGAAGGCCCTCCTGGAAGAGAGTTAAGAGGAGGAAAGGGGTGTGGACTTTCTGGGCAGGGGCACCTGTCGGCCCCAGACCCAGAGTTTCCTCAGCCACTGCCCTGTCCGTCTCCGAAGTTCTCCCACCGCCAAGGGGACTCTCTCCCCTTCCTCCCGCTTTTCACAAGGCTCACGCCTCTCGGCCTGCACCCAGATGCTTACCTGCTGACACAGTCACCCTCTGAGGTTTTTATTCGTTTGACTTGTTTGTAAAGTCCATGTGCGCTGGGAGATGCTGGCTGTGCTATGGCAGGAGCTTCATCAGGGTCTGAAACAAGGTAGGGTTCACTGCAGGCGACGATGAGCGAGGGCATGAAGGTGTGGGGGCCTGGCTAGCGGCGACCGGAGCCCCTGCCCCAGCCGGGAGCCCCTCTGTCACTTCCGTCCTTCTCTTCCTTCCGCCTCTTCTTTGCTTCCCCTGCCGTTTGCCACGCAGCTGCTGTGTTTTGCCGCTGTCCTTCCCCGTCCCCCTGCACCCGTCCACCTCACACGCGCCCCTCACGGCCAGAGTGTGGCACCGCGCAGCCCCGTAGGACAGATTCGGCGCCCAGAGCCCTCTGCCCCGTAGCAGTGAAGCCGCTTGTCCAGCGCAGCTGTCGCGACTCCGAAGGTGCTGCCGGCCTCTATCTGTGGAAGGCAGAGCTGGCTGGATGGAAACAAAGCACGCTGTGGCCCTGTGCGGTGTCAGCAGAGGCTGTGCCACTGCTACCGGACAGGGAGCCAAGACCTCCATACCCAACAGAGGCAGGAGAAGGCGAGAGTCGGCATGGACCTCAGCCACGGGTTCCCACAAGCCACGAACTCCAGCCCTGGTAACGCGCTGCCTTACCTTCCGTCAGGATATATACGAATGTTTAATTTATTTTTACCTTTTTTGTACAGTAAACGATACACTGCCGCCCATCGCTCTCACAATATGCCCCGTCACTTTGAGCGCACCTATGCCATCGTTCTTGGTGCTTTCTGAAGCCCTTCTGTAAACCTCTTTCGTGAGCATTTTCAGTTGCGCCGTCACGGCTGCCTCGACTGAACGGATTAAAAGCGTTTACCTGAGTTGCCTCAAAACATTGCTCAGTGCGACTTTCAGGAGGAAGCAGAAGTCACGCAGGGCCAGACTGAGTGAATGAAGCCGCCGATGGTCATGAGATCCAGCCAGTGCTACACAGTGAGTTCAAGTCTGGCTTGAACTACCTAGTGAGACCCTGTCTCAAACAAACGCACAAAAGTGGATAAGGACACAGCAGAACGCTTTCACAAGCCTGCCTTTCCATGGATGGCCCTCGGCAGCAGCCACGCTCACTGTATTTTTTAATCACACCTCCTCAAGACACGCAGGACAGAGGACTTCCAGAGCTGCTGCGGAAAGTGGCAGGAGCAACGAGGTGAATGTGTCCAAAGAGAAATGCAGCATTGTGAGAGATGACAGTACAGTGTGTCTCTTCTTGCAATAAAATTTTTTTAAAAGGTAAACATTGTACATTTCAGTCACATCGAGTATTTATGCAAAGAGAAACCAAGAAGCATAGTGCAGTGGACACTGGCATGGCCAGTTCACGGGCGGCCATCTCAGCACTTTGTCAGCTATGGTCCTGTTCTGACTGCATGTTTTTGCAGAGCTGACATGACCGCTCTCTTCTGTTCATAGCCCATTGGCACTGGGGCTCCAAGCTGCTGGAACTTAGATTTATGTTCTCTGTTTCCTTTTACCTTCATTGCCCCTCCTGTCTCTCTCACACACACACACACACACACACATGCTCGCTCACAGAAAGGCGCATGTTATCTTAGTTTAATGTATACCTTTTTAAAGGAAAATGCATGTGCTCGTTTTCTGCATCTGTGCATTTGTGTTGCTAAAATGCGATGACACAAAACACACCACTCTGACCATTGTCACTGTGCCAGTCAGTGACAGTCATTACAGGCGTGACATTGCATAACAGTTACCGCTGCCCATCTCCGAAATTCCTGTACCGCTCCAAACAAATTCTGTACCCATGACATGGCAACTTTCCAGCCCCTGGTAACTACTCTTTTACTTTTTCTCTCTATGAACTTGCCTATTATACAACACAGCTCATGCAAGTTGGGTCGTATGATGCTTGTCCTTTTGTGTCTGGTTGATTTCACCTAATGATGTTTTTAGGACCCATTTGTATGGTCTCACGTATCAGAATGTCGCGCCTTCTCTAGACTGAATAATATTTCGTTGAGCGTATGGCCATGTATGGCTTACTCATTCATCTGCTGACAGACACTTGTCTTGTTTTTGTCTTTTGGCTACTATGCATTGTATCGCCATGAAGTTTGGTGCACAACATTTGCTTGAGTCCCTGTGCCTGATTATTTTGGTTGCACACCTAGGAGTGCAGTTGCAGGGTTGTTCTGCACATTTCACATTTCGCTGTTGTTCAGTTGTAGGAGGTTTTTATATGCGCTGGATATTAATCCTTTATCAGATATATAACTTGAAAATATTTTCCGCAATCCTATGAAATTTATTTTCATTCTCCTGGGTCCTTTGGGGCAAAAAAATTCAGCATTCATGAAGCTCTGCATGCACATAGGTGTGTGCGCGGCCTGCTTTTCTGATGTGCTGTTACAAATGTCCTGTTGAATGGGATTTGTCCTCTTGCACAAATTCACTTGTGCAGTAGACATGGCGGTGCGTGCTGTGATCCTGGGACTTGGGGGCAGAGGCAGAAGGATTGCTGGGAGTTTGAAACTTTGATAGGCACTGCACTGACTCTGTTGTGAGCACGTACTTTAAGTCATGGGATCGTCACTGTGTCGTTGCTTCATCTCTTTTTTTCTATTTTTATTTTTATTTTTTATTTATGTACTTTTGGTTTCTCAGGTAGGGTCTCACTGTGTAGTTCACGCTGGCCTTGACCTCACTATCCAGCCCAGGCGGGCCTTGAAGGCACAGTGATCCTCCTGCCTCAGCCTCCCGAGTACTGGGATTACAGGTGTACGCCACCTCACCCAGCCCTTTTCCTCTGTGTTTAAAAACTCAGCAATGGTCCTGTGGGAACATTTAGTCTATCATGTAACTTCTGCACGTATCTTCTGCCCCCGCTAGGGACACCACCGTTCCTTCAGTTCCTGTGACCACAAGCTTGAAGCACACCCTAGAAAAGCCTCTCTGTTGGAGAATCCAGTTACCCATGCAGTAATCATTGTTAGTTAACCCTTCCCCATTTATTAAGTGTCAGGTGCTAAGAACTTCAGGTGCACGCTCTCTTTCCGTTATCGTAACAACTCTGTGGGAAACGGACTTACACTGTCACCCTGTACACATGGAGGAACGAAGGCTCAGAGAATCACACAGTGAGGAATCCTCTGAGCCAGAATCCAGCCCAATGTGGCACTCAGGGCTATCCCACTGGGGGACCCCGAGGACCGGTCTACAGTCTGCCAGCTTCTCCCATGCTCACTGCTTGCCAACTGCCCCTGAATACGCGGCGCCAGAGATCTGGAGCACGGGGAGGGACAGGGACCAGCCCCTACACCCCCTGCGGCCACTGAAGGGCCAGTGTGGGCCTGGGACCCAGGCGTCCTGGCCACTGCCCATGAGCCACTCTGGCCAGCAGTCAGGAGGAAAAGGGTCAGGCTGTAGGCCTCGCCCTTGCCGAGAGGCCCCTCTGGCAGCCCATAAATCCAGCAGGGCCTGGCCGATCCTGTTTACCAGATTAGTGGACTAGGTGTCTCCAAGTAAATCACCCCAGGTGACCTGAGACACCCTGGGTGTCTCCTGTAAATCACCCCAGACTCGGCCCTACTGCTACGTGACTCCTGGGGAGCCCCCTCAGCCTATCCAGGTGACAGAGCCCCGCCGCCCCACCTGCCCCCACCGGAGTGTGAAATGGATCCTCCTCCTCCTCCTCCTACAACGCTTTAAAGGCTCCACCAGCCAAAGTTCTGGTGATTTTAGGAACAGCCACTGCCAAATAGTATAGCGGAAGAATGACGAAACAGGATAGGCCAATTGTGAAAGAACAAAGAAGGCAAAACTGGAGGGAAACGAGCCTGCAGTCCTTCCTGGGCAGAATGAGTCACTGACTTTTTGGGGTCCCAAGTGGGAGGGTGCACCGAACTGCCTCTTTTACGCAGATCGTCGTTTAATGCTACAGGAAACCCATGAGGGTCACTGTAGCCAATCCCCACTTACAGACACGGCCACTGAACGACTCATTGACTTGATCAGGGCCAGCGTTACAAAACTCAAGTCGCATTAGTGAAGGTGAGATTCAAACCCAGGCAAGGCCCGCCAGAGCCGCAAGCTGCCCCCGGCCTCGCCCCGTAGGAACAGCAGAGAGGAGATGATGAGGCAGGCGGTGGAGCAGAGTTTTGGGGTGACCACTGCAGTTGGAAAGGCCAGGAGTAAAGCCCTAGCTCTGGCACTTATCGGCTTGTGACATAAACAATTAATCCCCTGTGCCTCGGTTTCCCCATCTGTAAAACGGCAGTAACAGTGGCATCCCCCTCCTAGAGGAACGTCGCTGTACTCCCTGTATCCTGAGTCATTAAGGAGACAATGTATTGAATACGAGCTCGGCCCAACACCGAGCAAGCAGTTCAGCGCTCCGGAAGAGGCAGCCTGTTAGTAACTGTGCTCAGGCGCACGTGAGCTGAGGCTGGGGACCCACGTTCCCCCAGGCAGCTTCAGGAGAGGGAGCACAAGAGTGTAGCATGGGTAGGAGGGAGAGAATTCCCTTCCCAAGGCCTCAGCGCAGCTCCAAGGGGGACCCTGTGGCCTCAGCACAGCCGGCCTCCTGCCCGCCCGCATACCTCCCACATGTCCCCGACTGTCATCTGCTGCCGCCATGCAGCCCTGACGCTGTCTCAAGGAAGAGAAAGCTACGGCGGGTGAGAAGCCTCAGACCTCCCCTGGTGTGACGCTTGGTGCTGGTTATTGGGCAGTAGATGTGTCACGACACCTGCCATTGGAACTTCGTTTTCAGTACTGGAGATTGAACTCAGGCCCTTCACAGTGACCTGCATCCCGAGCCATTTTAAAAATAATTGCTTCTGAGTCAGGGTCTCTAAGTCACTGAGTTGCCACCACCCCCGGCTCATTTCAATTATTTTTCAGTGTACAATTCGCAGGCATTGAGTGCATTCAGACCGTCGTGCGCCCTTGCCACCATCCATTTCCAGAACTTTTTCATCACCCCAAACTAGAAAGACACGGACCCTCTCATTCTTCCTTCCGCTGGGCCCTGGTATCCACTAATCCACCCTCTATGCTCATGACATTGACTATTCTAGAAATTGCACTTAAATGAAACTATACAGCATTTCTTTTGTGAAGGTAAATTTTATATGACTGCCTGGCTAGTGTACGGTGCCCACCTGTCTGGCCAAACATCAGCGTAGACACTGCTGTGAGTTTATTCTAGATACCATTAACATTTACACCTATAGACTTCGAGTAGAGCTCACGCCTCTAAGAAAGCTTCATCCACGTACTAGAAGAACTGAAGAGCGAGAGCTGAGCCTTATTTTCAAAATGAGAAATTCTGAGCCGGATGTGGTGGCACATGCCTGTAATCCTAGCACTCGGGAGGCTAGGCAGGAGGATCGCTGTGAGTTCAAGACCAGCCTAGGCTACATAGTGAGTTCCAGGTCAGTCTCAACTACATAGTGAGACCCTGTCTCAAAAAACCAAAAAAAAAAAAGAAGAAGAAGAAATTCTGCCTCCAGCCAGCCTTCAGGGTAGAAATCTGTCTGAGTTTCCAGCTCAAGATTGCAACATCAGGACCGGGGATGTAGCTCAGTGGTTCCGCTGCCTGCCTTGCAAGCACAAGGACCCAAATTCAGTCCCCAGGACCCCAAAAAAAAAGATTGCAACATCAGCTTGTGCCTGGATTTCCAGGTCTCCAGAAAGATTTGTCAGCCCCTACACGTATATGACACGCACACATACGCATGATACACCTGCGTCCTGTTTCTGGGGAACCCTGGTAGGCCAGTCCTGCTCCCTCGACGTGGACCTTATTCCCAACTCCTCCACTAGCCCAGGCATTGGCGCCTTCAGGAAGCCTTCTGGAACATTCTCCCTGGGGACACAAGTGGCCTCGTTGAGGCAGCTGAGGCCTAGTGAGCAGGAACCCTGTGTCCTCCTGCTTCACACACCCTCCGGGCTCTGCGCTCCCTCCGGACAGTGGGACAGGGCGCTTTGGGGACATGGTGTCCATCTGCTGGTCCATCTGCTGAGGGCTGTTGTAGGGAAATGCATCCCTGGCTGAGCGCACCTCTGTCCTTACACCAGAAGTGTTGTGGCCAAAGCACAGCCCCACCACGCCCAATTTCGGGGACTGCCCCGCTGTCAGATGAGAGGCACCAGACAGGTCAAGGGTCCTGGATAAGGCAGTGCCTTCCCCGGCTAGCACTGGGTCCTCTGGTCCTCCACTGTCCGGAAGTAGCCTAGGCCGCCCAAGCAGAAGGTTCAGGACACTCCCGGGTTTCCCCCTCAGTCTGGGATCTGTCACATGGCTCAGGACCCCCCTCCGGCTTCCTGGCACATGCTGGGGCCCGTGAGAAGCAAGAGGGGTTGAGACTGCTCAGGCGACCCAGGCCTGGCCCAGGAGGCAGACTGTGAGGTGAGGTCCAGCTCTAGAGCAGACCTTTGAGTCTCAGCCCTGCCACTTACCAGTCACACCACTCCAAGAGAGCCACCGCGGCCTCTCAGACTGTTTCTCTCCTCAGTGAGAATGGGAACATTCACCCCGTGAGCACGTGGAGGTACCCCGCTTCTTCCTCCTGGATCCTTGAAATAAAGATAACAATGCATTAAGAATAATGCTCCACAGGGTGACTGTGGGTTTTATGTGAGACAAAACACAGTACAGGTCCTGGAGAGTCGTGATCCCTCAGGACCCAACAGCTATTATCAATAACCAATACTGATTGTTATCCTTGCTATTATTTGGGCTGGCCAGCTGGGATAGCCTGTGATCCCTCCAGCCCTCAGGAGCCATCTGAGGCTCTGGAAAGAGGAAAAGCTCATGGCCACCCTCCCCTTTGAAGTCCCCAGGGGCCCCAGGCTGTGATGAATGTCCCGGCCCTATAGGTTATGACTTGCTGCCAGATTTGACGTTAACCATCATGCCCTGGCTGGGTGTTTGAAGAAAGTGGCTAAATGCTGCTGGGGCTGATGGCGGAGATAGCAGCGAGGCAGGTCTTTGAAAGCCCCCCGGCTGGCCGCCCTGGCGAGAGAGAGGGAGCTAGGAGGAGGCCAGCTCCGCTCCAGCTGTTTAGTCTACCAATCACGGTGGTGACAAAGAGTCTGTGCGGCAGAGGGGCTGCTGCTGCGGCAGGCAGGCCGGGCGGGAGGGCCCTGCAGCCCCTGAGGGGTCGCCTCCTTTGCTTTCCTTCTTTTCTGGAGAGTGTGTGCGCGTGTGCATGTGCGTGTGTGTGGGAGCGTGCACACATGCACTTTTCACGCCTTTCTAAGCAAGCAAAGGCTGTAAATGAGAAAGAGCACTGAACCAGGAAGTCCCCAGGCCCAGGCTAAGCCACTCTCCTGCCACCCTTTTCTCTCCCCTCAGGAAGGGAAGAGGATCTGACACCAGGCTTCAAACCCAGTCAGGTCCGCCTGCCTTCTGGCTCAGCCCCTTCTTCCAGCGAAGTGTTGGAGCAGCTCTTCGTCCCTGAGCCTCTGTCCCCTCACCTTTCGCCGGCAGTGGAGAACAGCACTTCACAGGTTCTGAGTGACGATCAGAAGCAGGCGACTCATGTCCAGTGTCCTGCACGGACCTGTGCACAGCAGAGGCTCCGTGGGCGGGGCTGACCTCTAACCCAATTCTGGGGCCCAGGGACAACGTCCCAGTTTGTCTCCTGGCTCCTGTAGGTCCCAAGACAGGGAATTCCAGCTCCGACCTCACTCTCCTCTCACCCATTTATTTGTTCTGTCCAAGAACCTTCCTCCAAGGCAGGGCAGCATCAGAATGAGAAATCAGAGCCAGGCACCATGCAGAGCACTGCAGGGGTGTAGGTGGCCAAGATTAAACCAACTTAGGCAGGAAAACTAAAGCTCAGGAAAGAGACTCGCCAAGACAGTGGCAAGAAGAGCCCCTGGCCTGACTGTCTCTTGGGTCACACATGATGTGGCAAGGAAGGTGGTGGAGGACAGTGACTCAGGTTCTAGGCCACTGGCTAACCGCGTCTCCTCTGTAAAATGAGAACCACAGTGCTTAGTGTATAAAGTTGCTGAGAGCTTTAGCTGAATTAGCAGGAAATAGGGAACAGGACTCAGCAACGTCTTCATAAACACTAGCTGGGGTGATTGTTATACCTCTCGTAGGTACCGGCCTCTTCCAGGGCAATCAGAGAGAGACCCTGCCTTCAAGTCACCAGTGTCAGTCAGGACAAGCCAGGTTCTGCTGCGGTGACAACCAGCCCAGAATTGTTTCCTCATGTGTTACATGGTGAATGTGGGTGAGCCAGAGATTCAGTTCATCCAGTCACTGGGGGACGGACATTTCCCAGATCACTGACAAAGTGCAGTCAACTTGGAGAATGTCAGGCTGGCTTGTAGTTCCTGTGGCTGATATTTCATAATCACATGACTGTGTCTAACCTCGCAGGGAACAGGGGAGCATCATTCCACTCTATGGCAGGAAGTCACATGTCCCACAGCAAAGGAGGGGAGGCAACTACGTCAACTCTGGTAAAGGTAAGTCCTCACTGAGTGCTGTGGGAACTCAGAGGGGGAGGGACTGTGCCTGGAGTCTGGGGGTCTCCACAGGCCAGGTGATCTGGGACTTGGGTTCTTAAATTGGGGTCCAAGGATCCCTTGTTGCATGGTTGGCCCTTCAAGAATCTAGGAACTCCCTAAAACTGTAAAAATCTCATCTGTGGGTATGAATTATGCATTTTTCTTTTTAATTTTTTTTTTTCTGGTACTGGGGATTGAACTCGAGACCTTGTGCTTGCAAGGCAGGTGCAGTGTCACTGAGCTAAATCTCCAGCCCCATACTTCTTTCTAAGAAGCGAGTCCTTCATGTTTCTCACCTCAGACTTAGGCCACAGAGTTTCTACATTTCCTGCCTTCAGTCTTTCTGGCACAGTGAAGCTCAAAGTGTAGCTCTCATGCTGCCCAAGGCAGATATCCTGGGTGCTAGTCTAACGCACAAGACCCTCACCAGTGGAAGGAGGGTCTCTGGCACATCTCCAGACTCTCTGTACTTTTTCGAGTTCCCTAGGCAACCTGGACACACCTGAGTTTGAAAGCCCTCTGCAGAGCCCCGCCCCGCCCCACCTAGCCAGGCCTCGAGGGAGCACAGCAGGGGCTGGCCACAAAGATCACCTGGGGATCAGCCAGCACACTGCAATCTGCAGAGATCCTTGCTTGGCCTCACTGGGAAAGAGCAGTTTGGAGGCCCCAAACTCTTGGCTGGCACATAGCAAATGCTCAGCAAAAAGTGAAAGAGCAAAAGAAAGACAGTCAATGAAAAGGGAGCCAAAAAGAGCAGGTCAGCCTAAAAACTATATGTTATGGAATGAGGAAGCCCTGGATTCGCATTCCAGGCTCAGTGCTCACCAGCTGGGTGATCCCAGACAAGTCACCCGAAGGTCACCAGGATGGTACCTGCTGTACTGGGTCCCTGACAGCCAGAAATGTGGGCACCAGCCCCTGCAGCCCCTCTCACCCTGCTCCAGACACCAGACTCACAGACTCGCCCCTGGCCCAGCCCCCAGGACTCAGGGCTGAAGGTCAAATGACAGGCAAGAGCCCTGGTCCCTGTCCAGTGCACACACCCTTCCCCCAGCACCCCACTCCTGGCCATTCAGGTCCTGCAGATCCAGAGCAAGCTGCATTTCCACAGCTCCTTGAGCCTCCACTCGGACCTCCAGTTTGTTCAGAGTGAGTCCACTTGGACATCCTGTCCCTAGTAGTGATACTGCCCCAGGACCAGTTTTTCCCTCCTCAGGGGCCCCTTCCCACTCATGTCCATGGGGTCCCCCCACTCCAGCAGCCCAAAACTGAGGGAGCTCTGCAAGGAGTGAGGCCCTGTATTTGTAGGTGGTGGGAAAGCTCTGGGCCGAGACAGGAAGCCTGTGGCAGAGACCTCCACTCCCTGCGTCCCTTCCAGCTTCCTTGTCTGTGCATACAGAGCTTACTCCCTGGAGGAGTGCACAGGGCGTGCAGCTTGTGACGCCGGGACCTGCACTACACAGGCCCTTTCTGAAGCCCTAAACCTTGCATTCTCCCTTCCTGCAACAGGGCTCCTTGAAGATAAATCCACAGGGACGGGACAGAAACAGTGGCTTTGACAGCACCTGAGGAGAGAGAAAGCTGGCAGGCTCTCAGGGTGGGTCCCCCGCCTCAGGAAGGGAGACAGACACTCCAGAGGTGCTTCTGGAGCCCCCTGCTGCCTGCTTTGATTTCCCCACTTGCTTTCCTCTCTGCTATCAGCAGGGAGTGGCAGAGCCTGCTAATCAGTCCTGCTCCAGGCCCCTGGGATTAACCCTGCCTAGCCAGGCCTGGTCCGCAGCCCTGGCTACCAGCTGTACCCCACTGTTCTAAACTGCGGGTTGGGGGGAGGGAAGGGGGAGCACTCAGGGAGGGACCCGCCAGCAGCCAGAGAGGGAGCAACACTTCTGTGCCCTGCTCTTGCTGGGGACCCTACCAGCCGACTCTCCATGTAGAAAGCCTGCTCCTTGACCCAGCGCTACAGGCGGCACTGCCTGTCCACAGACCTGGCTCGGGCTTGGGACGCCCCCACCTCAGGCTTCCCCTCCCATACCTTCACCACACCCCAGAGAAGCCTTCCCCAACCGTTCTTAATGCTCTCCTCCTCTCCTCCACAGCCACCACACTGCCATCTTGCCTGCTCGTATTTTTCAATCAGAGTCTGGAAGGCACGTGCAGTCTCCTCCAGTCGTCTGCTCAGGCTTGGAACTTCTGTTGCCCAAAGTGCGTCTCAGAAGTGGGGTGCGATCTGATAGGGGGGCAGTGCATCTACTCAGTCGGGTTCTGGACGGAAAGACTGCTGCTGGTTTGGCCCGGGGCAGGCCTGGAGAAGTCTGGGGAGCTGGTCACTGGATTGCTGCCCGGAAATCCCCTCCGGGGCATGGGCAGCTCCATAGGTGGGGCTGGGACACCGGTGAACAGGGGTGGGGGGGTATGGGAGGGCTGGGGGAGCGGGCGCCTCCCTCACTCCCAGGCGGGCGTAGAGAGGCCCGGGAGGCCAGAGAGAGGAGCCCAGGTCCAACTTCTGCAGCTCACTCAGGACGGCTCCGGGCCTGCCCGCAGCCGACTCCAAGCCCGAGTCAGGACGTCTCCCAGACGTCGTGCCCTGCTGGCACCAGGGTGGTGGGACAGTCGCTTTGCCCTCTGCCCTGGGCTTCGGCCGGTCCGGCCACAGACAGGCTGGACGAGAACAAGTTCGTCCACCCATGCACCCCCGGCCCGGCCCTCCTTCCCACCACCCGGCTCCCCGGCCGCCTGACTCTGGCTTACAGCGCCCCCTGCCGCCAGGGATCAGAATGACGCATTCGCAATCCGGTCGGGACTCGGCCCCACCCGGGACCTCGCCGTCCTAGTCAGCCGAGTGGCGCTGGTCTCCCGGCTCGGTTTGGAGACTTCCGACCGTCCCCGAGGTCGGAGACGCCGCGGTCCTCCGCGGTTCTGCGTGCGTGCAAGGCGGGCCTCTTCCTCCCCAAAGCAGCGCCAGGCTCCCTCGCACACGGGTGCACGCGCTCTGGGCTGCGCGAACTCCCCTCACACTTCGTAGGGATAGCGCCCTCGTTCTTCTCAAACCGTCAAGGGAGGGACCTCGAGGGTACCCAGTGACAGAGGGTAGAATGCATGCGTTGTTCGAGCTCGCTGGCTGCAAATTCACTCCCTCGCCTGCCTTCTGTCCCCCGGGCTCAGGGGGACCCATCTCCCACCCTCAGCTTCCCTCTCCCTAACCAGTCCGCCAGGCCAGTTCAGAGGGAGCCATGGCCTGAGGTCACCTGCGCCGCAGTCCCTGCCCTCTAGGCGCCAGTGTTTGACTCCCACTGTGCCCCCCGCCCCTGCGTGCACCCTGGCGCCACGAGCAGACCTCGCTGGGCCTCGCCGGGTCTCCTCTGCGAGACTGGAGCAGGAGAGTGCTGAGCTCCTCGGGAAGGGGTAATGCGCTGGAGCCTGGCGCCTCCAGGCCTGGTCCCTGCAAAATGCCCAGAAAATGGCGCTTCTGGTTCTTATTATAAGATCCTTAACCTGATTGTTATGATCCGGTTTACACTTAAAATGGCAGAGCTGAAGGGACTGGGCGACTCCCTGATGCAGCCCTCACCAGAAGCTGGAGCTGAGCCCAGAGAGGGCAAATCGCTTGCTCAAAATCACGCTGCCAGCCTGTGTGGCAGCAACCGTGTCTAGAATGCCACTCTGTTAGACCAAGAGCTCTTAGACGGACACCAAAAGCGCACACATTTTTTTGCCGAGTCTTATTGTAAATTGCGCTTACTTTTTTTAAAAATTTAATTTGTGCTTACTTTTTAAAGAAAGGATGGAACTATGTTCCCGAGTGACCGTGTCATCTTGCATTCCTACAGTGGATGCCGAGGGCTCCCCCTGCTCCTCATCCTCAGGGGGCCTGGGTGCCATCAGCTTTGTGACACAGTCTTAGCCACGCCATGAGAGTGCAGGGCCATCCCGGTGTGGTTGTAATCTGCATTTCCCTGTGGAGGTTCTAATGATGCACATCCTGTGTGTGTGTGTGTCTTTGCCAATAGTACAGTTTCTTTGCTGAAGCACCCGCTCTAATCTCTTGCCCCATTTACATTTGGGTTTTCTTGCTGACATCTGTGAGGTCTTTCTAAGGGATGGTTACAAGTCACGTGTGGGATATACGATTTACAGCTATCTTCCCAAGAGTGGCTTGTTTTTTCATTCTCTTAACTATGTCTTTTAAAAGAGTAGTTCATAACACACACACATACACACACACACACAAACAAAGATGGGCTGGGGATTTAGCTCAGCGGTTCGGTGGCCTGCCTTGCAAACGCAAGGACCCAAGTTCAATCCCCGGTATC